AGCCACTGGACAACACTGCCTCTCATTGCTCAGAATCATAAATATGGATTTAGGGACCTAATTTTAGGTTATTTTTGAAGATGGTGGCTCTGAAACATGGCAGTCTCCTGGTGGAGGGTAAGCGGGAATTCACTGTTAACACTTGCCGGGGAGTCATGTATAGATTCCACAGCAAACATGGTTGTTCCTAGCATAGTCAGGGTTTGTCTCTCCAGGTACATGAACATTTAGTTTATTGCATCCCAATCCGGATGGAAGAAACACCAGAACATTAGATATCTGGCTATGCTACATGCAGCTCTAAAGGACCCAGTTGCCCTGAATTTCATTGTCATTTATCCCAGTGCAAAGTGTGTATAAAAATTTTACCATGCAAAAACAGCAACATTCTGGACCCATGTCACATTGCCATGCACTTTGTGTTCTCGTTCACAGCAATGGTGAATTGGGCCTAGGGAAGACTTACTCTGATAAAAAATAAAAACACCCTTTTGAGACTATGTCTTTTGCTGTCCTGTGGTAGCAATTTTCTGTCCTTTGTGTAGATGAAATGTAAGGACAATATTGTGGGTGCTTCCCTGTGGCACAAAGGACATGTACAAGAAAGACTAAAAATGCTTCCAGAATAGTGATAGAAATGTAGCCGTGTTAGTCTGGGGTAGTTGAAGCAAAATGCAGGACAATGTAGCACTTTAAAGACTAACAAGATGGTTTATTAGATGATGAGCTTTCGTGGGCCAGACCCACTTCCTCAGATCAAATAGTGGAAGAAAGTAGTCACAACCATATATACCAAAGGATACAATTAAAAAAAAGAACAAATATGAAAAGGACAAATCACATTGCAGAACAGAAGGAGGAGGCGGGGGGGTGGGAAGGGGGAGGAAGGAAGGTAAGTGTCTGTGAATTGATGATATTAGAGGTAGGGAGAGTGGGATGTTTGTGAGTTAATGGTATTACAGGTGATAATTGGGGAAACTGTCTTGATAATGGGTGAGAAAGTTCAAAGACTTGTTAAGTCCCTGGTGGTAAGTGTCGAATTTTAACATGAATGACAGTTCAGAGGATTCCCTTTCAAGTGCAGATGTAAAAGGTCTTTGTAGCAGAATGCAGGTGGCTAAGTCATTTAGAGAGTGTCCTTTCTGGTTAAAGTGGCAAGAAACTGTTTTCTCTTTGTGATCTTGTCTGATATCTGTTTTGTGGGCATTAATCCTTTGGCGAAGTGTCTGAGATGTTTGTGCTTCCATCTGTTTTATTATAAAATACACCCTTTAGGGATTGAAACGGAGGTTATGAAGCAATTGGAAGAAACATAGCTTAAAGCAACATGCCTATCTGCTATAGATGAGAAAATTGGTTTATGGGAATTAAAAAAAACCCCTTGTGATCTGAGGCTCCATAAAGCAAACAAACCAATGAAAAAGCCCCAAATGGATGTATTGTATAAAACGTGCCACTGGAATGTCTGTACTGACAGAATACTACAAAGCTAAGAATGGGTAATGCAGGCTACATTTACTATACAATTTACGTTCCCACAAATAAATGAAAAAGTTAATTCAGTTGAGATTAAAAAAAAATGTGCACATTCCATTTTTCAAAATTATATTATGCAGTTGACATAGATCCCTGTTTATTCATTCAATTTCAGTATAGTTTGCTCGTTCATTCCCTCTGCATTTTCAAATTTTTTTAAATCACTTTCAAACCACCATCTTCAAAATAAATCCCCCCGAACCCCTCAAAAAACCACAACAGAAAGACAGGAAACTTTGTAACAGGTTGTTTAATGATGCAAAGTAGAATTATGCATAGTCTTAATTATCAGATGGGCATTAAGCTTAATATGAAACCACACTGACTTTTGACCCTTTTTACCAGCTGAGTAGCTGTCCCTTTGAGTTAATATGACAGAGTAGCCACTCTGTCTCCTTTACATTGTATTAATGTCATAAATTAAGAGGACATGAATAACCAAGATAGCATCCTTATGACAACAAATAACGGTAAGTTGATTCCCATGATCATCTATAAAAATCTACTAAAATATTTAATGTTCTTTTTCTAACAAATCAATAGAAGGTATATCGCTTGCAGACAAACATTGGGTGCTTAAAGCATTACTCTCGGATAATGTCTCAACTGTGCTCCATGGAACAGAATTTTAAGTCCCATGCACCCAATCAAGTAGTAAAATTTTAGAGATCCAAAGATAAATTGTGGTACCATAGTAAGACTTTTGCTCCATTAAAAATTTTTTTTAAGCAAATTAGTAGTGACTAGAAAAACATAACCCTCAATGTGAAAAAATGAACATCCTAATTAGGGATGTTAAAATGTGTTTATGTAGGTAAACGTGTAACTGCTGAAACTTTCAGCAGTTACATATTTACAAGTGAGGCGAGGGGGGGGAGTTGTCTCCCCAGGAACTGGTGCATGCAGGGAGCTGGTTCCCCATGAGCACCCGCTCCTACCTGCCTCCTGCGCTGCTGCCTCTGACCCAGAGGGGAGAAGGGAGGAGACTGGGTGCAACCGTGAAGGTTAGCAGATGAGCCCAGGCGCATCGGTTAATCGTGTATATGTTTATACTTTCACATTCCTAACCCTAATAACTACATTTCTTTATGGAAGGGGGAATACAATGTGCTTGAGACAGATGGAAAAAATTCTAATGGAGTGAGGTGACAATATAAAAAAATTCTACCAGAATGCTGTTGTGGATACTTTGATTGGGTAAAGCAGAATTAACAAACAATAAGCAGAGATCATATACATTAAAATATTTACTTTCTTTCTAAAACGTAGAAGTGAATTTGCTCCCTAGGAGTGTGCCACCTAATTGACCGCATGTGGAACGAATGGATTGCAGCTATCTACAAACAGGTAAAGCAGCAATTCAGATTTCTTCCTACTGTCTTGCCTAAGTCCTGATCTAGAGTGCCCACCTCTAGGTGTGAGCATTCAGTCTCCATTTCCATTCTGTCTTAGGTCTTTATGTTGAGAACCCCTACCAAGGTTGGCTATAGCGATATTTTTGGGCTACTTAGAACTGAGAAGAGACCACTGAAGCATTTCACACAAGTTACTGAAAATCCTTCGCTGGTAACAGCTTTCCTTTTGTCCCCACCCAACCCAGTTTGAGCAAACAAAGCAGAAGCAAAACATTACACCCAGTGGAATATGGCAACCGTTGCCAGAGAAACTCCTACTAGGGTTGCCAGGTGTCCGGTATTCACCCGGACAGTCTGGTATTTGTGGGCCCTGTCCGGTAAAAAAAAACAAACAAACAGGAAATACTGGGCATGTGAAATGTCTGGTATTTCTTGTTTCCCTCAGATGGAAGTCCAGAGGGGACAATTTTCCTCTGCCACATCTGGAGGGGGTGGGGGAATGAGGAGCGTGGCAGAGTTGTAGTGAAGGGGGGCAGGAAGAAGCACTTGCTGGGCGCCACACTAGGGGGGCGATGGGCTGGGGTGGGAGCAGAGCGCACGCTGCTCTGGCCCACATGACCAGCAGAGTCCTGGGAGCTAGCCTGTGATGCCTCCCTCAACATCAGCTGTGGCCAGCCCAGGGCTCTTGCCCCCCCAAA